GAAAAGAGCACACCATTTAGTTATATGAATATGTATAATACAAGTAATATTACACAGATAGAACAGGCCATATATGTGTATTTAGGAACACACACATAACAACAAGCAGTAATTTATGAAAAAGAAAAGAGGCCATGAATTTGAAAGAGATAAAAATAATCAACATATTATTTCAAACAGCTTCATGTTCTATGCCTTTTCTTTATCTGTTTCTCTCTCTCTGTCTCTCTGTCCTGCAACTCTGTCTCTCTCTCCCCAAAAGCAATCATAGAGCAAACCAACCAACCAAACAAACCCACAAAAGATTTAAAAATACCCAACTGAAACATGAAAAAATTTACACAAGAAACATGAATTATTTTATTGTTGTATTGTATTGTGTTGTGTTATATTGTATTTTGCCCTGGAGGATAGTTGATGTACCAATACCAATCCATTGGAGAAAACTGATTTTCCCTCTCCTAGCAGGCAGCAACACAAAGCATTTCTTGGTTAGGATGGTACTTTGTGTCATCTTCCCCTTCTCAGTGCTGGGATTTTCTCTGGGTTGAACTTGTGTAGGTCTTGTGCTTGTTGACACAGTTTCTCTGAGTTCATATATGTATTAACCCTGTTATGTCTGGAAAATGTTTTTGCCTTGGAGGTTCTATATACTTTAAGAACATGGAGCCTACAGATGTTTTAACAAACATGGTCAGGATAATGGCCAACTGACTTTGTGAAAGAATAAGAATAATTTTCTGGACTTCTAGATTTGTAATTTTATTCTTTTCAAATAAGTCGACTTTGTAATGAAATCAAATAGTTGGTGACTAGCACCCTAATTATGGTCTTTCTCCCCAATCTCTATTTTTCACTGGAATCTTTCCTGGTATTTGGAATTGACAAAGGAAATAAGATGAAGAGCAAGCTTTAGTAGTGCATCTCTTCTCATAGTGAAATGGGATTTTAATGTGCTTCAATTCTGAGATAACAAATGAATAGCACCACCAAAAAAACCCCAAAAAAACCAAAGCATGCTTTGGCGAAACACTCCACACTATAATAAGTGATACAGCTTGAGTTAAAAAGTGTCTTGGAGAAGCTATTTTTTTTTTTTTTGCTTTTTTTTCCAACTCACTAAATTCCAAAAAAGATAGGATGACGTGGGGATGAAAGTTGGATCATGTTTGCACACAGTTTCCCCATGTGGATGAGTTTATATTTGGGGTTTATATGTTTTCTTTTGAAACTGTACAATAATAAAACTAAATGTGCCACCCTAAAGTGGGTCTTATTTATATGTAGGAAAGAAAAATAAATGGTAGATGTCTGTCTTATTTATAAATTTCTCACACAGCATAAATTCCACCTAATGAGCACATGCATTCAGAACAGTTAAGTCAAAGTGTCTGTACAGTTAAACTAGAATTGAGTGTCCCTTAATAAGTTTATAACAGGTACCTACAGCTGTATACTCTCTTCTTTTCACAGTTCATTACCTAGTCCTAAAAGGAAGTGAACACAATTTTATGAAATATAATATTATGGCTTTGTTAGTTTACATACTGGTATCAACTAAGATTATCAGTCACTGAAACAGGCAGTGGTAACAGGGAAGATACAAGGCAGGTGGAAAGAACAAAAGAAAGAAATGACAAGTAGAAACATGGAAGACATGGAGATTAGAAGACATACAATGACTACAGTCTATGGAGTTCACTGATTAGAAACTGTGATCCAGGTATCTGTCTACATCCATTAAACTAGTACTCAGATCACCACAAAATATCACTATCTGATAAACTATTAAAAACAGAATAGAGAAATATTTATGGCACATCTTTCTGATTGACAGTAATGGTCCTAAATAAGATTATATGGACAAGAACAACACCAATAACCTAAAAATACAGAAAAAAAAATAAGACAGGATTGAACACCAATAATGCATTTAAATTTGTTTCTAAACTATTAACAAGCCTATAATAATCGTGAATTTCTTAGTGAGTTTCTAGGCATCATAAACATGTGAATGGCTATGAAGACTTCCTTACTATGAAGAAAACCCTCATCACTTTGTTACACAGATGTGATGCATATGTTAACATATCATAAGAGAAAGACAGAAAGAGATTCCAGAGGGCAATCATAAGATTTGTCACATAATGAAGTACTTAGTAGAGGGAACGATGATGAAGCTCATGTGTAAGGAACACGGAAGTTTTCCAGATTGAGTGTGGTGGCAGGGGTCATTCAACTAGCCCTCTGTTTCATTTTTGACATAAGAATATCTACAGAAAAGCACTGACCTGATCATGAAAGGGACACATATTCTTTATGTATATTTTATGTATATTTATTAAAGATTATAATATTTAGAATTAAGAAGGCTCACACTTCAGGAAAGTGGTATTTGAGAAATCTTGGCATTCAAAAGATGTCTGGACCATAATTGTTTTACTGCATCAGAACAGTAACTACTCCAGTCTGGATGTGTGTAATGAAAATGCATATATTTAACAACATTTTTTTCCAAAATTAAATTTGGATCTTGAATATTTTTCAAAACTGTGATAAAAATCCATGGTAAAATAAGGAACTACCAATAAAACATGTGTAGGTTTAGATTTTCTAAAATAAAACAAAACAACTACTTTATTTAGGGTTCTTAAATGCTTCTATGTCCTTATTAGGAAAAAGGGGCTCTGGACCTTTGAGGATGTAATTCCTTGGGGCGAGTCCACTCTTCGGTGTCCAGATACCAGCAGTCCAGTGAAAGAGCCAACACACCACAGCAATGACAAGACTCAGACAAAGCGGCAACACTCAGCCAGAGTGCCAAGAGAAGTTCTCTGGAGCCTTTCTCTGTGGAGTGACAAAAAACAAAATTGTTGGATTGTTGTAAAATGTAGTGATCCAAAAGAGCTATCTGTGGGCTTCTATTTATCCCTTCTCAGAGTCCACACAAGGCTTTTTAAAAGCCATGCCCCTTTTCACGGGACAGTTTCCCTCTCATGTGTTTGTTTTTAGCTGACCAAGATCATGTGCCCTCACATGAGTTTGTGTTCAACTGAGGATGAGCTAAAAATATTTCACCAGAAATATGTATTCAATTCTTTTACAAAGATACAAGGTGATGCCTTCTGCAGGAAGGATAAGTGATCCTAAAAAGTAGTAATATTGTTACAAGAGCAGAAAGAGGGCATGCAGATATATTTACAAACAATAATCCTAGATGATATATAGATGATAGACAATAGATAGACTATATTTTTGTTTTTTGTTGAAACAATTTAATAATTATCTAATAGAAACGGAAAATCACACAAATTTGCCTCACTTGTTAACTTCAGCTGTTTCGAATATTCTTTACTTTTTAAATTTTATTTATTTAGTTATTACAGTTCATTCACTTTGTATCCTCTCTGCACCCCCTCCCTCATCTCCTCCCAATCCCACTCTCACTCCCTCTTCTCCTTCCATGCCCCTTTCCAAGTCCAATGAGAGAGGTGCTCCTTCTCCCCTTCCTTCTGACCCCTGCCTATGTGGTCTTATCAGGACTAGCTGCATTGTCCTCCTCTGTGGCCTGGTAAAGCTGCTCCCCCCTCAGGGGGCGGTGATCAAAGAGCCAGTCACTGAGTTCATGTCAGAGACAGTTCCTGTTCCCAGTAGTAGGGAACCCACTTGGAGACTGAGCTGCCATGGGCGACATCTGTGGAGGGGTCTAGGACCTCTTTATGCATGGTCCTTGGTTGGAGTATTGGTCTCTGCAGGACTCCCTGGGCCCATGTTTTTAAAATTGTAATAAGTTAAAGACCACATATTTCTGGATTCTTTGCTGGCTGACATACCTTTATGGTTCCTTGAAACTATAATTAATTACTTTTTATACCCCCTTACATTTCAAATATAGTTATCTTAAATAGCACTTGTTTCTGATTGCTGTATACTGTGTTGGAGGATAATGAAAATGAGTGTAAGCTGAAATTTCTGCCAGAGGCTCCATGAGACAAAGAAAAATTTAAAGTATGGTTTTGTTATATCCTTGAGTTTAAAAGTGCTATTTCTCCCACCCAGAGAAAATCTGTCACTTCTCATTTTGCTTTTACTTCTTTCTGCTTACTCAATTAGAAACACACATGCACACAGATCTGTTCAGGTGTTTAGAATTATATGCTGAAAGTCTGGGAATCTTTACCCTTCCCAGATTGCAGTCAACTTTCAACGGTTTCATTTACTGAGTTCGTATTAAACAGAGTCCTCATGCCTTACCTGATAGTTCTCTAGTTATCTATTTTTTAAAAAAAAATCTCTTACTGTTCTCACATTACAGGGAGCAAATATATACATACACCATTATGTTCAGTTTTGGCATGTCTTCCAAATAAATGAAAGAACTAATTTCTCAGCTACATAAGATCTCTGATTTAAATCTGTAAAGACTGGTTCGCTGTTAGAATATTGAAGCTCAATATGGTCATGAAAATCTATTACTGATAAAAGACCATTGGTTCTCGGCGTTGTCTCTTCAGTTGCTCTGCCACATACTGCGAACACAAGCTGCTGCCCCGTCAAGATTTTGTGCTTCATGAGGAAGCGCTTTCTACCTGTTCAGTTGTGCTCTAAATATATGTCTCAATTTATAAGCATTACACTTAATACATTGATTTTTTTTTCTCTTTTAGGGAGATATATACTAATTTTACTACAAGGAAGATATGGGCATAGAGCTTTTAAATCAGCATCACAAAGGAAGTTCTTTAAAAAATTATTTTCCTTGTGATTTGTGTAGCAGAATGATGGTTAGACCCTAAACCTAAAAAACAAAACAAAACAAAACAAAAAAAAAAAAAAAAAAAAAAAAAACACACCCCACCTGATTAAGATTGCATAAATTGACTCTAAACCTAACAAGACACCTGATTAAGATTGTATAAATTGGCCATTTCACTGAGCGAGGAGGAAGCCGAGAAGCCCTTTCTTCCAGCCAGTGAGGAGCTGTAGCTGGTTAAGCTGACATGGCGTCCTCTACACCCTCAAAGAAGCAGCAGAAGGGCAAAGTGTCAAGCTACATGAGGACCCGTAGAGACACCGCTGCGAGCCAAGGTAAAGATCCCCTTGCTTCAGCCCCGACTGGCGCCTCTGCGGCAGGAAACGCCATCTCTGTGGATGGTGAAAATCCGGGGACAGCTCCTCCAGGGCCCGACCCCCCCGGTAGCTCTGGCCCAGACACAGAATTGGGACATGCTAGGCCCGACGCGGGCAGCCAGCCCTCGAGAGGCGACAGCAGGGCCCCTGGGCAGAGAGAACACAGTAGAAAGAGGAAGCAGTCCATCCGGTGCCCAACTGCAGGAATACCGGGGCAGCTTCAGCTTCCGGAAGCTCCAGAGCCCCGTGCGCCTCAGCCTCCATCTTCTCCGATGTCTCGGCCAAACTGCCGCCTCCAGTCTGAACTTTCAGTGAGGGGCCAAGAAGCCCCAGGACCTGCCCTCAGGAGAACTGCCACCAAGTCAGGTCTTGTGGCTCCTCCTGCTCTTAAGGCCCTCGGCCTAGCTGTTAAGCCTGACTGTAGTCCTTACAGAAGGGCACCTCAGTCCAGCTCTCATGGCAGCGGCCACGTCTCCCCTGCTGGCGACAATCTCTGTCAGAAGGACACTCGGAGGGGTCCTGATGATGTCCTTTGCCATAGTGAAACTGAGTCGAGCTCTGATCCCAAGGCCAGTGTTGTCGGAAGCAGGGTTCTCCGCTCACGAGTTGTAGCATCTGTTCCTCATAGGAGAGCCTTGGAGGCCAGCCCTACTGTTCGTCCCGGTGCCACAGGTCGAAATTTGCACTCTCAAGCCGCTCAGCAGGATCCCGTTCTTCACAGCAGTAGGCTGAGGTCCAGGCCTGATAGGGGCAGCAGCCCTGCCACCGGACGCAAAGCCAGTAGTTCATCCAGGCCTGCCTCTAGCCATCGAAGCCATGAAGCAGTGACAAAGCCAGACTGTGGCCCTGCCCCTGCCCCTGCCCCTGCCCCTGCCCCTGCCCCTGCCCCTGCCCCTGCCCCTGCCCGCGCCCCCGCCCCCGCCCCCGCCCCTGCCCGCGCCCCTGCCCGCGCCCCTGCCCGCGCCCCCGCCCGCGCCCCCGCCCCCGTCCCCGCCCCTGCCCCTGTCCCTGTCCCTGTCCCTGTTTCTGATCCTGTCCCTGACCCTGTCCCGGACCTTGGCCCTGGTCCTCGTCCTCGCCCTAGCAGCCTGAGTGTAGCATACCCTTCCAGCTCTAGGCCTCCATTTCTAGAGAGATCCTTTAGAACAATCTCAAGATCTCCTCCAAGGCGGCCAGTCCGTATGCGGGCCTCTTCCCCTTCCCCTCCTAGTAGGCGTTACTCCTTTCCTGTCCTGTATAACGAAGGTCCCAGCTCTTCATCCTCCAGTGGGGAGTTCAATGGTTCAAGTCCGCATTCTTACTTCACTAGGTCACCTGGCGAGGGCTCCTATCCTCTGTTTGATGCCTTATGCTCTGGTTCTGGTCCTAGTCCAAATGCCGTTTGGCATGCCTTGATACCTGACCTAGATAATCTGTTCTCTTCCACTTCAGGAGAGTCAGAGGGAGAAGTAGAGGAAGTCCCTCACTCTACTAAATAGGAAGAAGTATAGGGGGGATGCCCTTAGCTCCCCTGCTCCCACCCACACTGTGACTATGTGTGTCCCAGATCCACAAAAGAACTCGGCATCTAGTCACAGTTTGCTGTGAGGTTTCTAGGATTTTTATCTATTCACCAGTTTTCTGCCAAGTTTTGAAGCCCCGTATCCCTCTCACCCCAACTATCCCGCAATTACAAAGCCTCTGATTCCTCTCAGCGCTCCCTTTATCTTTAAAACAGCTGGGTGGGTTGGTGTGGCCTCAGAGTTTAGTTTTCCAAGTTGAGTTTCTGTAATTAAGCACTTTAATAAAAGTTTTACGTTTTATTAAAAAAAAGATTGTACAAATTTACTAACAATAATGTATGTACTAATGTAGTGATTATTACTAATAGTTAATGATGTATTAATAATTAATAATATATAATTATGTAGCTCCTTATGCCCATTTGGTATTCCAGGAGTTAATAATCACCTCTTTTTACTTGTTGAGTTTATTTTTAATTATCCACCAGACTCATGGCAACAATATAATTCCCTCTTAATACATAATAACAATTTGGGAAGATAACACTTCTTTGTTCTTTCTCTCTTGAAAGCATTCCTCCTGAAGCTGTCTGTCCTCTTGATTTGCAGTGCTGTGGATGATCTCTGAACTTACCACACAAATGTCAGATTGGAATTTCTTTCCTCTCTCATGGGTCAGAGCCTCTGTATCCTGAAGCTCTTGCCTTTCACTTGATTTCATTTCTTCCTTCTTCTGAAGGAGTGATCATGACTCTTGACAAAGGATTCAGGGGAAAAACTTTTTGGTAAAACATATGTCTGATAAAATACTCTTTATTAAATCACAGTGCAGTTATTTATATAATTCTACTTTATCTACATTTCCTTCAGAATTGTGAAAGTATTTTTCATTAATTTCAAATTTTGGTGTTGCATTGCAAAATATTACCATCTTGATTCTTCATATCTCTATGGGTGTTTACTAGTCTTTTTATTTTACATAGAAAAAAAAGATAATTCGGGATGAAGAGATTGCTCAGCAATCAAAGTCTGGGCTCGCAACTATAAATATAAGAAAAAAGATAATTCTTAGGTAATTAGATAGTCCCCAATATTCTACAATGGCACTGCAATAAAATAATAAATTTGTTATGTTATTTGAACACTCCTTTTAAAACTTTTTTTTTTTTTTTTGTTTCTCAGAACAGATTTAAGATGGTCCTAGGACCTCTCCTACTTAATCACAACTATGTACTAGCAGATACCCATTTTAAACTTTGGCAATAATTCAGTATGCAGTTTGATGGTGCTCATAGGTGACCATTTGAAACTTACTTGGCATTTGCGCAGCTTTTTACATACCACCTCATTGTAGGTATTTAAATAGACATGTTCTTTCTTTCTAGCATCAAAAATCGATTCCACTATATCCTGGATATTTTCTTTCTCCTTTCAGAAATTGCCTATTTCTTCCAAGATTTCTGATTCCTTCTATTGATGATAGGAATAGAAACAAATCTGGATGGTAGATGAGTTCATTTCTTCTGGGATAGCATTATCTATAATGTATAGATAGATATCAAATAATAGACTCTCACTTATACATATCTATTTTTTTTTCAAATTTTTCCTAATTTCTGCGCTTGGAAATACATTCATCTTAAAGTTTCCAAATATGATCTACTGCCATGTGTGTGACCTCTACATCTATTTTCTTGTCACGTGTGATTCTACCAATCAAAATCTTCAAATTTCCACTTCCTAAGTGAAAACATGCTTTCTACTATCTACTCTTTTATTTAGCTGCTTAATTTCAGTAAATATATAGCAGTCAGAAAATGTTAGCCTATAGTTTCTTTTTTTTTGTATTTTATTTTTTTCTTATCAGTTACATTTTATTAACTCTATACCCCAGCCGTGTCCCGATCCCTCATTCCCTCCCAGTCCCTCCCTCCCTTCCTCCTCTCCACCGTGCCCCTTGCCAAGTCCACTGATAGGGGGGACCTCCTCCCCATTCATCTGATCCTGTTTTATCAGGTATCTTCAGGACTGGCTGCAAAGCTCTCCTCTGTGGCCTAACAGGACTGCTCCTCCCTTGGGGGGTGGGGAGTCCAAAGAGCCAGTCATTGAGTTCCTGTTAGAAATAGTCCTTGTTCCCCTCACTATGGGAAACCAATTGGTTACTGAGCTACCACAGGCTACATCTGAGCAGAGGTTCTAGGTTACATTCATACATGGTCCTTGGTTTCATGTCAGTCTCAGAAAAGACCCTGTGCCCAGATATGTTTGGTCCTTGTAGAGCTCCTATCCTTTCCTCATCAGACTAACTCCCCTTCTTTCTTATGATTCCCTGTACTCTGCCAAAGGTTTGGTCATGAGTCTTTGCTTTGAAAACACTGCTAGTTAGAGTCTTTCCAATGCGCTCAGTAGACTCCTGTCATATGTTCAATGCACGTCCCATCTGTCATTCTAAACGAGGATTGATCATCTTACCCCATGTCCACTCTCTTGATTATCTTTTATAGGTGTACAGATTTTATTATGTTTATTATATCTTATAGGTCTATATAAGTGAGTATATACCGTGTTTGTCTTTCTCCTTCTGGGATATTTCACTCAGGATGATCTTTTCTAGGTCCCACCATTTGCCTGCAGATTTCATGATTTCCTCCTTTTTGATTGCTGAGTAGTATTCCATTGTGTAAAAATACCACAATTTCTGTATCCATTCCTCCGTTGATGGACATCTGGGTTGTTTCCAGGTTCTGGCTATTTATCACCCTGCACAAAACTAAAGTCTAAGTGGATCAAAGACCTCAACATAAAACCAGATACACTAAATCTGTTAGAAGAAAAAGTGGGGAACAGCCTAGAACTCATTGGCACAGGAGACAACTTCCTGAATAGAACACCAACAGCACAGGCTCTAAGAGCAACAATCAATAAATGGGACCTCATGAAACTGAACAGCTTCTGTAAAGCAAAGGACACTGTCATCAAAACAAAACGCCTGCCTACAGATTGGGAAAGAATCTTCACTAACCCTTTATCTGACAGAGGACTAATATCGAGTGTATACAAAGAACTAAAGAAGCTGAAAAGCAGCAAACCAAGTATTCCAATTAAAAAATGGGGAACAGAGCTAAACAGAGAATTCTCGACAGAGGAATATCGAATGGCAGAGAAACACTTAAAGAAATGCTCATCCTCATTAGCCATCAGGGAAATGCAAATCAAAACAACCCTGAGATATCACCTTACACCCATCAGAATGGCCAAAATGAAAAACTCAAGGGACAACACATGCTGGAGAGGTTGTGGAGAAAGGGGAACCCTCCTCCACTGCTTGTGGGAATGTAAACTGGTACAATCACTCTGGAAATCTATCTGGCGCTTTCTAAGACAATTAGGAATAGTGCTTCCTCAAGACCCAGCTATACCACTGCTAGGTATATACCCAAAGTTTGCTCAAGTACACAAAAGGGATATTTGCTCAACCATGTTTATAGCAGCTTTATTTGTAATAGCCAGAACCTGGAAACAACCCAGATGTCCATCAACGGAGGAATGGATACAGAAATTGTGGTATTTTTAGTTTCTTGAAACATGTTATCAAGAGCACAGTGCTTGAATACTGTCCTCCATGTTCAAATTTCTACAGTTACATAGATTAGATACATACAGTTATATACCATATCTAGCATTCGCTACCCTTCTAAATAAGATTGCCTCATAAACTTTAAAACATAAAATTTTATAGCTCATTCTACCTTTCCTCTTAGGAGGTGCCACACTTCTGAATTATCTTTTACATTTGTGTTTTATTTCTACTATAAACTTACACAAGTCCAAAATATGATTTGTACCTATGCATTTGCCATTATACAGAATAATTAAAAGTTTTTAAATATCTTTGGTGCAATACTCCCTTACTACAATGCCCTGCAAGCATGATTAAGAGAAACATCTCCACAGTTGGTCATTTATCAATGTTAAGTATCAAAACTACTGTGTCATTTTTGGACCATTTTATTTCACATAGTCAAACACACATTTCTGACATTAAATTGTGTATTTTTGTTGCTCAATTGTTTTTAGTGATGAATATAATTTATTGTTATCAATATGCCACATTTTATCAATTACCTATTGAGTGACGTTGTGTATGTGTCCACTTTGAAAGGAGGTACTATTCAGCCATCTGTATCTATCCATCCATCCATTTGGTTTTCTGAATTGTGTAAGTTTTTATAAATTTTCCACCACTCCAACCTTTTCTCATTCTCTCTCAAATAGATGGGCTCTTCATTAGTTATTGTTTGACATACACACACAGAGTGACACAGTGACACAGAGAGCGAGAGACAAAGACAGCAAGATGAGCCCATTTAGAGTTGCTTATGTGTGTCTTTGTTCAGGACCAACAACTTGGAATTACTTAACCTATTGGGGGAAGTGATAAGGATGTTTCTCACTCTCTGCCTAGACATTAATTGCCTGTAGATCTTCACCTCTGGGTACAGCTTTGTGAAATATCCCCCATCGACATTGGCAGGCCAACTGGTAGTGTGCAGGTCATGCTTAGGGGATCATAACTGTTCAGATTCCATGGCTGTACTTCCTTGTTATATGTGGAAGATACTATATCACGGTAGATTTTTTTGGTCCTTTGGCTGTTAAAGTTGTTCTGTCCTTCTGAAATGTTCCCTGAGCCTCAGATGTAAGTGTTGTGTTGTATATATTTCAATTAAGTTTTGGCATTCCTTGGGCGGATGTTCTCTACATTTTGGCTACACGTGACTTTCTGTTCTGGTCTCAGTCTACTGCAAAAGGAAGCTTCTTTAATGAAGGACAAGAGCTATTCTTATTTGTGGACATAAAGATATATATTTAGAATTCATGTGGAAATATAGTGGCTTAGACACGTGGTAGCAATAGGTTTTTGTATAGGGTTCATGATTTCACAGCTATGGGTAGTGGAAAAGGTTTACCATTTA